TAGAAAGAGTGCAGAGAAGAGCAACAAAGAGGATTAGGGGACTGGAGGCTGAAACATATAAAAAACAGTTGCAGGAACTGGGAATGTCTAGTTTAATGAAAAGAAGGACTAGGGGAGACATGATAGCAGTGTTCAAATATCTCAGGGGTTGCCACAAAGAAGAGGGAGACAAGCTATTCTCCAAAGCACCTGAGAGCAGGGCAGAAAGCAATGGGTGGAAACTAATCAGTGAGAGAAGCAACTAGAACTAAGGAGAAACTTCCTGGCAGTTAGAACAATTAATCAATGGAACAACTTGCCTCCAGAAGTTGTGAATGTTCCAACACTGGACGTTTTTAAGAAGAGGTTGGATAACCATTTGTATGAAGTGGTGTAGGGTTTCCTGCCTAGGCAGGGGGTTGGACTAGAAGACCTCCAAGGTCCCTTCCAACTCTTGTTATTGTTGTTACACCATCCCCAGGCACTGCGCTTCAAACAACAAGTAGCAATCGGAGAAGCCCGTTGAGAGGATTCTCACATTTGATGCAGGAACTCGGCGGTCCTTTCAGAAAGGGAGGGAAAACTTGTAACCGCAACATAAGTTGCGCTTCGCGAGGAAAAAAAAATCGAGGCGGCGAAACACTGACCTTCGATCCAGAGATTTCTGACAACAAAGCCACAGGCTCCCAGGAAAAGGGGGAGCGGGGGGAGGGAGCGCTTCTTCGCCCACCACAATTTCCCGCGCTTCAGTGATGGGTTTCAAACCCTCCCTTCCTCCACTTACGCCAATCCTCTCCCGGCTGCTTTACGAAGCGCAAACCACCTTTTCCAAGGTAATCCGCAGGTCGCACTCTTGATCTGTTGCATCACCAAGACGGTTACCAAGCCAAGCCAACGCGAAAGGGGCGGGGGCTATGTGAGAATCTGACTGCCTCGCATGGCCCGAGCCACTTCGGCACCCACCGCCGTTCTTGCCTGCGTTTTGCAGGCGGCATCCTAGAGCTTCCTCCCTGTTGTCAATTAGGATTGTGACAAAAATATACTATTTTTGGGCTGCGTGGGGAGGAATAGCTGTTTGGGAATTAAAACGCCGTCCGCAAAAAGCGATTCTCGGGCACATTCAGAGAAAGTCCCACTCCAAAAAAAAGGACGACGCCAGGCGCCCTCGCAAGACTGCAACCCTGCGTTTTGTTGTTTTTCCTTTCATTCCCACGCGTCTTCACGGGACTTACTCTTAAGTAAGTCTGCACCGGATGCCCCTAGAGGATTACGCAGACCTCGTGAGGAAGAGGCGCGTACTGAATGCACAAACGCGGTTGGCAACGTGGAAAGAGCCGCGTGGCTTTTAGGAACCCGGCGCTGCTCCTGCGGGTTTAATTTTTTCCAACTCCCGCTGTCTTTTCCCCGAGGCATTGAGGACAAATTAGGCACAGGAGCTAAATCGAGAATAGAAAGCCCAGCGCCTTAAGCTGGGAGAAAGAAGGCAGGGAGCGAGAGAGAGGGAGAGGGAGGGAGGGAGGGAGGACTCACCGCGACCTCTCTGGCGGCTGCTAGGTGTAATAAGCGAATTAGAAACTCCCGCCGGATTTCAAGCCCTCTTTGCTCGCGAAGTTTTCTCAGCGGCGCTTTCACACACAAAACCCAACTCCGGGGTCCCTTGTTAACTCTCCCCCCGGTTTGCCCTTTCGAAAACGCGGGCTGACCAATACCTGCGAAACCTTATTAGGAAATGTTTGTCGGAGTTTTGAGCCCAGGCGGGAAGCCGGGTTTTGAGCGAGGGCATGTGGTAAAGGCGGCCCGGAGGGGTGGGGGCAGGCAGCCGCCGCCTCCGGAGCGGACCGCTTGCAGTTTTGACAACAAACGCTGGTGACCTGCCGCCAGTCAGAGGGGAAGAGTCAGCCTTCTCGAGGCGGGAACGGATGGGCTGGCTGCGCCGAGAGGGGAGGGAGACCGGTGTGATGGCCTGGGGGGCGGAGGAAGAGGGGGAAGAAAACAGCCTTTATCGCACCGATAAACAACCCTCCGCGGCTATACAACTGTCAGGGGGGGTCGCTTCAGACGTTGGAGATTCCAGAGTCCATGGGGACACGAGTTCCCTGGGCTAACCGGGTTATGTCCCAAAGTTGCTTTTTCTGGAGGCTACTGGACTTTGTTTTTCCTTCGAAGACGTTTGGAATGAAGGAAGCTTCATCCAAGAACCTTCTTCAGCTCTGACAGGACAGTGGGAATGGAAGAGTATATATTCCTTGGAGACTGAAATCCTTCCATTCCCCACTATCCTGTCAGAGCTGAAGAAACTTTTTGGATGAGAAGCGAAATGTCTTCAAAGGAAAAACAAAATCCAATTGCCTCCAGAAAAAGCACCCTTGGGACAACGATGATCTGGATGACTGAGAATCTCTACAGACTTTTTACCAGGTTGTTCTCAGCTCACATAGCAAGTTAAAACTTTGAAACATGGGATGTGGGGGGAACAAACACCCGCTCTTGGGGTGGCATCATCCCAAATGAGCTATCTTTTTTCCCCAGGCATGACTTATGACCAAATCTCCCCATTCCTGTTTTGATGTATCTTTTCACTTGGGTAGGTGGGTGGGTGGGTTGTGTCTTCACATCAGGACAAACAGGTATTTTTTATTTAGATTTGGAAGGTGGCTTACAGAGTTAAGAAGACAAATACCTGAACAAAATTACCCATTGTGTTGCAAAAGAACATAAGGGTTCAGCAAGTGTCAGCCTTTTGAGGTAGTGCAGACAAGAAACACCAACCTGAGTATTAACTCTTCATTGGAAAGTTATAGTAACATAATTTTTCAAGTCCCTTATTTTTATTTTCCTGAAAACTCGAGAAGGTTCCTTCTGAAATGCTTTCTCTAAACTCTGCCTTCCCCTCTGACTCGGTTTTTATCACACTGTTGTCTAGACTGCAGCTCTTCCTCCTGTCTCTCAAAATCATTCCCACATAAAACTAAAACAACAAGCAACCAAATCCGAACTTGCAGGCAAAACCACACTTCCAAAGCCTTTTGGGATCTTTGTAGGATGGGAACTCTGCATATCTCCATGGAGCAAGGTGGGGGGTAAAACAGCATCCAGAGGTCAGGGACTTTGATAGAGAAGACATGCTTTTGGGGTCCCAGTAGATGACATTGTTTAATTGACCCAGGAGCACTTGATCTTGTGAGTCCACTTGAGACAAGTGGTCTCCCTCAAACAATTAGGCTGGTCACAAGAAGCTCTATAGGTGATAACCAGCCTCTTGAATTGCACTCAGAAGCCAACTACTGGTAGCAACCAGTGCAGTTCGCAGAGCAGTTATAATATATAGGCATATTAAGGTCTGCTCATTGTTGCCCATCTCACTATTTTACACCAGCTGTAGCTTCTGGGTGGTCTTCAAGGGCAGCTCATGCAGAGTGCATTGCAGTAGTCCAATATGAGATGACTAGAGCATGAGTGATTCTCTAAAGGGCCTCTAGGTTGAGGCTCTAGGTGCAACTCGTCCACAAGAGAGATCTGTGAAAAAGTGCTCCTGGAAACAGCTGCCACCTTTTTTTCAAGCAGTAATTATGAGACCAGGAGAGAACCCTCTCCCTCAAGTTGTGTACTAGTCTCAGATGAGGAAGCCATCTAAATCCAAAGAAGAAGAAAAATGCTACAACCAGGAGGATCCAAACAGACACAAGCCACTTGACCTATTCTCCCTTATCCAGACCCAAACAGCCTCTAGACCCTGGGTCAGGACATCAACAGCACTTCCTGAACGATCTCAGTCAAGATGAACAATTGGTATCATTGGCATGGTGATAATACTGGACCCTAAACCAACAGATGGCCTCACATATGTAGATGTTAAACAGGAGGGGCAAAAGCTTTAAGCTGTGAAGCAATGGACAGAACTTTCTCCCACACTCCCATCAACATTAATTGGATCTGACCATAGAGAAAGGAGAATAACCACCATGATACAGTGCCTCCGATTCCCAAACCTTGTAGTTGGTCCAGAAGGTTGATAATGTCAGAAGCCACTGAGACATGAAGTAGCACAAGAATGGACACACCATCCCCCATCCCAGCTTTGCCAAAAGCCACCAGCAAAGGGTAGGATTATAAAGAAAGCTATGTATTTCATTTCTGGAGTGAAGGTTGTAGATTTATTTCTATATTTCAGAATAAAATTGGACAGGAAAAGGAAGGTGTCACCCTGTGTTTCTTACATCCCACAAAACAGTTGGAAGTGCAGGCTATCTCCACATTGTCTTTCCTCCATTTACCCTCAAATTGCAAGGTAATGACACCAGCAGACAATACAGCTAAGGACAAAATACTGAAAACCTTAAACACAGAGAAATTGTAGCATGTACTGATAGAATCTTCTGGTTAGTAGTATAACTTCTTTTAGTAGAGTTTACATATCAGACATCTTTAATGTAAACTCATGCAAACAGTCAATTCAGGAAGGGGTAATCTATCCTTTAATAAAGTAGTGTTTGTGTTCACATAATTTGGCTTATGTAACACATTCTGAACCAAAAACTAATCACAGGGGCTTGACTTCAACAGCATGGTAGGCTAAAATATGATTGGTTGATTGATTTGTGTCCTCTATGAATTAAGAAAATAAAATTTCTTGTTTGTTACAGAAGTCTGCACAAAAAGGCCTTGATATCTCTGTACAATCTGAGACTCACAGGGAGAATCTTGAATCTCTCTTAGACCTGTTTCAAAAGGCTGATGTGAAGATTACAAACCTTTGAAGTAACTGAGCCCTCAGGAAAGAAAAGTCAAATACATTTGTTATAAAAAATACATTTGAGTTTTAACATACCTGTGTTGTGTCTCCTGTCTGCTTTCTCTCTATTGGCAACTGCAAAAATAATGTGGAGTGTTATATGTAACATCAGTGTTTCTATTGCCCTTCAAGAGGATGTGCAAATGGAACATAACCTGGTTGTGTTACCAAAACACATAAAGTCATCTATTAGTCATATTTTAAGTCTAATATGTTGTTAGACTGGAAGGCTTTCTTAGCGTGGGTTTTAAATCTAAACAAAATACTAAATGCTTTTTTTGTTTGTTTTCCTTGTAAAAATATGAAGGTGAATCTTCCTGTTCTTTCATTGTAATCTGATGCTGAAATTCAGTGATGCAATATCAAGGAACCTTACGAAAGTTTGATCTCGTCCTTTTTAGAAAATATCCATCATACTTGTCTTTTAACTGGATGGGAGGAAATAAGAAATTTTCACTAGGAAATTTTTTAAAAATACCAAGAAAGCAATAGTAAACTCATTTCATATTCTTGACAAGAATACTGTCTTTCCCCCTTTTAAAGCAATGAGATATTTATATCAAATAGGTGTCCCAAAAATCCGAAGGGCATTAACCTTAGTGCATTGCAACATGCTTCCCAGAAGCAGTTTTGGAGGGCCAATACAAAAAAACAAAACCCCAATGTAAACTGAGACTGTGCCCCAGAGGACAAGGGGCCATTCAACTTAAAGCTCACATCCTATTATACCGCATCTTCTATAAGGACTCATGGACTCAAATATAGAACACCTTTCCTAATAAAACATATATGGGGAAAACTGATATCTTCTATATACAACTATTGTTATCGGAACAGTAAGTAGTAGTTTCTCTGAATGTGGCCAGGTTCTGTTTTGGTCTATGCAAAATTAGATTCTAACTGCCCAATGATAAGCCACCAATTGTAATATATTATTTTGTCTGCCATTTTTTTTGCACAGTCATCTGACTGACTGTGTGATATTCTTCACCACCACCAGAAAACAGGTCATCAAATTGGATGTAGTCACATGGTAATTGGGTGGGTTCCAGATTCTTTTACTGCCGGTTCACTCAGAGATGCACTTCGGGCACACGCACACTTGATGCAAGTTACGCGTTCATGCACACTAGTAAAAAAAAATTGCTTCTGCGCATGCGCAGAAGCAAAAAACAAGATGGTAGTGCCATAGGCGCTGCCAATTGAACTGGTTCAGATGCGTGGGCGGCCAAGTTACTACCTACTTGGCCAAACCAGTCCGAACTGGTAGGACCCACCAGTGGTGATCTGTTTATATATTACAACTGTAATTTCAAGCTCAATTATGGTTGTAAATTGAGGACTACCTGTATGCCAATGTCACATATTTGATGCATATCAACCTAAATTGTAGAAATAACTCCAAATTATGGTAAGGGTACCAGATGATGTCTTTAATGACATTTGGGCTCCAACTAGCACTCATCCCTCCTCTGGGTACCATAATTTTTTAATTTTCCTGGTTTGTTACTGCATGCAAAGCCCAGTAAGTCATATATTAATATTTTATTCGAATACTGTGTCATATTTACTTGTGCTGTATACAGCTGTATCGCCTTCCATATACTATTTCTTTTCCAAAATACATTTATTGAGGATTGGCAGACTGCTGTTTTTTATGTTTATCAAAATGATATCATTCCATTGTAGGGATATTTTAACTCTTCTTGATTACAAGTATCTTCCAGTTTATGCATTTATTTTTTCTTCATTACTTAGTCTCAGTTCTAGCCAAGTGTAAGTGATAGTACATCTTTGTGACAAATATTGAAGTAATATGAGAAATAACATGAACAATTCTGATGCACCAGAAAACACTGCCAAATCAAGGAAACACCAGCTGCATTTTTATTCCCAAAGGATTCATTTTAAAGTTGAAAAATCTTTATTCATCTTCTCCTTTGATCTTAGACAAAGAAAAATGCAGATTCTTGTCCTTCCTCTCTCTCCCCCTTCCTTCCTATCCTCCTTCCTATCTTCCTCCCTCTCTCAGGTGATGCTATTCACAGGATTGAATGTTTTTCCAGTGAGACTGGTCTATCAGGACAACCTGGTCTACGCAAATATGGGAGGCAGCATACTGCTTCTGCTTTCGCCTTTCAGCCCCAATCCAGGAGCCTTCGCAGGCAGTCGCTTCCACCACAAACTATTTTGTGTTAAATTTAAATTTACTGACAAAGAAATAAAGGGAGACTAGTATAGCTATTTCAAGCTGTTTAGCTCTCATCAGCTAGCCCTACCCTTCTGGGATTCGAACCCAGTCTGCTTGATGTTAATACATCTGCCTTATATGCAAGCGGCCCGGGTTCGAATCCAGAAGGGTATGGCTAGCTGATGAGAGCTTAACCGTTTGAAATAGCTATACTAGTCTCCCTTTATTTCTTTGTTGGTAAAATTTAAATTTATTCACGGAATTGTACTTTATAACAGGATTGCATTATGAACAGCAGCACAATTTTCACAGGAGTTTCACATTCTTCTACAGAAAAGCTTCACTGTTGAGAAAACTACATTTTTTGATTCATTAGATCTACCTGGGAGAAAAAATAAACTGGGATCTGTTGTGGGCTGCTTTTCTGCATGGTTTTGGAGGTCCACGGGCAATTAACAGACTTTTTTTTCCTACTCAATGATAAATGATAGACACAAATGATAACAATACCTAAAAGATTTTTAATTTCACTGATATTTCCTGAAATTAAAGCGTTAAACAGTAATGTACTGGATCACTCAGTAAACACATTAATGATACTGTGTTCATTAATGGGTTCATATAAAGCAGAAAATATAATCAAAAGCAAAAATGCAAATTCCCAGGAAAAGGAGGGAATCCTAGTGGAAGACAAGAGTCCTTAATGGTGCCTTAATGTAATGCTGAATCATGGCTTTGTATTATGTCTGAAAAGCCTAGTGTGTCAGAAAGAAATCAGTCCACGTACCTTGAAAAAGTAGCAAATTCTATTATAGATAAGTATGATGCATGACCTTGTATAATTTTCTGCCTGTGTCAGGCTTAAAAGCAATCTGCAACTGATTCGGAAAAAGGACAAAACCAGCCTGCCCCATTTTGGCAGTGCTTGTATGAAAATGTGTGGGCTTTTTGGGAAAGAAAAATATCTTTCACTCAAGCTGAGATAGCCACTCTATAGAATTCCCTTTTCAGCCTCTTAAACATTATGAAGAGGCCTCCCTGTGACTTCAAGTGTTTTGTTCCACAGCCAAAGCCTGAGTCTCATTCTGACCGGGTGCATCCGTTGCTTCTCTTCCTTTGAAAAACAGCATGCAGAACTCTGCAGCCAATAGGATTTTATCACTTTTTTAAAAAAAAGCATACTATAGTCCATGCATGCACCCTCATTACAGTGCTATTCCATTTTGGAATTGGTATAGAAATGAAACTAATAAATAATAAGCCAAAGAAATTAAAGGCAAGAAATTAGAAAAGAAATGGAAATACATACCTTAATACAGTGTTTTTCAACCACTGTGCTGTGGCACACTAGTGTGCCGTGACATAGTGTAAGGTGTGCCGTGGGAAAATTACTTTATATATAGTCAATATAGGCACAGAGTTAAATTTTTTTAACATTTTCTAATGGTGGTGTGCCTCGTGATTTTTTTCATGAAAAAAGTGTGCCTTTGCACAAAAAAGGTTGAAAAACACTGCCTTAATATGTTAAAGTTTATGCCAAAACCATTTGCTATACTTCTCTATACATTCTTGCCAACCATTCTTACTCCTTTAGCATCTGTCCACTGAACTTATACATGGTCTTTTGTTCTTTAAACTTCTCACTTCTCTCTTTCTGAAGGTTTAATCAACTGCATTCACTCAAATGTTCTTGGTTTTTCCTTTCTCTCAATTCACTCACTCTTTCTCTATAGATGCCTTGTGATTTGATCCTTATTCAGTTTTGTACTTCTTTTATACTGATCAGTAACTTTTGTGTTCAGTCAT